AACATCAGACAGGCCCAGGGGAGGGACACTACATAATACCTGCCAGTACTTTTTTTTTGTATTTAAATTTTTTATTAAAAAAACAACAACCTTATCACCTTCATGGTTCTCTCCATCACACTTAATACATCGGTCAAATCTGTGCTCCCATTCTTGGAAACGTTTTTCTAACTCATCTGTCTGGAAGACCGACAGCACCTCCCTCCTTTTTTCCATCATCTCTTGAACGTCATCAAAGTTCTGTCATTTCCTGTGTCTCTGCATTCACAGAAACAAAAGAAGTCACACAAAGCAAGGTCAGGTGAGTAAGGTGCATCTGCCAGTACTTTTCAAAGCTGTCGTCAGAGACCAAGAAAGGCCTAAGGAATGGGCACAGCCAACAGTAGCCTAAAACCAAACTCACTGCCAGAGAGTCAATGCTGACTCGTGGGAACCCTATAGGACAGAGAAGTGTCCCTGTGAGTTTCTGAGACCTTAACTCTTTACAGAATTAGGAAGCCTCATTCTTCTCCCGCAGAGCTGGCTGTGGTTTCGAACTACTGACCTTGGGGTTAGCCCGACGACACAAGTAGTGTGAGGAGACATCACAGCTAAACATAAGGTAGCATTCTAGCTGGGCTCCTGGAATACAGCACATACCGACATTAGGGAAGACCGAGGAAGCATTAATAAAGTGTGGACTTTTGTTCATAATAATGTATCAGTGTGGGTTGATTAATTGTGACCAGTGCCTCACACTGTAACAATAATAAGCTGTCAGTAACAGGGGAAGCTGGGTCTGGAGTATATTAGGAACTCTGGGCAGTATCTTTCCCACTATTCTGTAAATCTAAAACAGTTCTAACATTGAAAAAAATGTGTCTTAAGAAATGCACGACAAGCCAGGGTGCTCTCTGAGAGGTGAGGTCAAGGTCATATGTCCTCCAAGAACAGTGGGAGCTTCCTTCCCACCTGACCACCCACACTGAAGTGGGTCACTCAACTTTTGGTTCTTTCCCTTGGCACCTAAGCACTTACTACAGTGTGTGAACCTATGCGTGTTGGTGCATTTTTTCATTTGACAGTCTTGGCACAGTAGTTAAGTGCTTGGTGGTTAACTAAAGGGTTGGCAATTTGAACGCACTCAGTGCTCTGGGGAGAAAGATGAGGCTTCCTAATCCTGTAAAAAATTATAGTCTTGGAAACCCACAGGGTCAGTTCTACTCTGCCCTATAGGGGCACTGGTGATCCCCCACCAGACGGTATGCCTGCTTAGTACAGGGGCCATATCTGCTTTGTTGGCCACTGGACCTGTCCTGCAGTGGGTGTGCTGTAATTGCTTGGACAGATAAGGTCTGGAATAAGCCTGCTGCATTCTGACTTGCCTCAGCTGCCATTGACAAGCATTCTCTGACACCCACTCTT